GTGTGTGCATGCATATATATATATATATATTATATATATATATATATATATATATTATATATATATATATATATATATATATATATATATGTGTGTGTGTGTGTGTGCATGCATATATATATATTATATTATATATTCCGTAATGGGTTTGCCAGTAAGGCGGCGAATCGTTAGTATGAAGAGGTAGATAAATACGGCCGTGAAGAATCTCATCTTTATTGATTTAGCAGACGTTTCGAAGGATTACATGCCTTCATTATCAATGCTGTAATTAACCAGATAGAAGGGTCATTAGACTATGTAAAAATATGAAGGCGTTCTGGTTTTACAAAAACGTAACAGAATAAACAATATTAACGGGAAAATATATACAAAAAATATATGAACACAATAGAAAAATATATAAAACATATTAAGAGACGTAAAATCAATGTTAAACTAACCATTGTAATTACTAAACCAGACAAGGGACGAGGAGTTGTTATTTTAAACAAATGTGATTATGAACAAAAGTTAATGGATATTCTCAGTGACAAAACAAAATTCAAACAAATCACGACAAAAATTTCCACCCATTTGTTATATTTAGAAGACAAACTAAATAGACTTCTTCGTACTATCAAAGCATCCATTAACATAAACACCTACAACTCTCTTATGACTTCTGGATCCAGACCTGGTGTTCTTTATGGACTACCCAAAGTTCATAAACCTAATATCCCTTTAAGGCCTATAATTTCCTCGATTGGCACTTTCAATTACAACACCGCAAAATTTCTTGTTCCCATCATCTCCCCTTTAACATCCAATCAATATACTATTGATAATTCCACATCCTTTGTTAAAGAAATCACGTCTCTGAACTTCCAACAACCCGTCACTATGGCGAGTTTTGATGTCGAGTCGTTATTCACAAACGTGCCTCTACAAGAGACCACGGAGTTGATAGCTAACAACCTGGACAATACTTATCTTGACAAATATGGTTTGGATACGATTACCTTCAAAAAGTTATTGGAAATCACTGCCCATCATTCAGTTTTTACGTTTAACGACTGCCTATATGCACAAACAGATGGCGTAGCTATGGGCTCTCCACTTGGCCCCTCCTATGCTAATGCATTTCTATGTCACCATGAGAAAAGCTGGCTAGATAACTGCCCGCCTGAATTCAAACCCCTACATTATCGTCGGTACATCGACGACACTTTCCTGCTCTTTAAGCACCCTTCACACATTAATCTTTTTCTAGATTACCTAAATGCCAAACACCCCAGCATCAAATTCACCTGTGAATTGCAAATGGACAACCAATTGCCATTTTTAGATACTATGATCACTAACAACAATGGTATCTTCCAAACTAGCATTTACCGTAAACCCACTTTCACTGGCCTCGGCCTACATTTTCTCAGTTACATCCCGTATATTTACAAAATCAATAGTGTGAAAACTCTTATAACTAGAGCCTACAATCTATGTAGCACCTGGAATGCCT